ACAGCCTCAGAACCCCTATACAGGGTTGCTATGAGTTGGAACTGACTTGGCAGCATTTAAAAACAACAATGAATATTGGTAAAGTATGTAGTGCGTTGCCTGCATTACACTGGACACATGAGCCATGTGTCTCCCCTGCCATGACCAGGTTCCTTCTAAGATAACAGGGAGAGAATTTTGTAGGAAGGAACAAAGTATATACAAAAATTAGGATGTGTTTGTGGCTGTTTAAAGGAAAACTTGGTGTAAGCAATGCATAGTAGCTTTCTTATTAAATCCCAAAGTTAGGTGGTTCATTACTTTGGATGCAAAATAATATCATCAAGAACCTAGGTTCTTCACGTCTTTCTGCTCTGCCACCTTTAGCAGTTCTCATGGTCACAACATGGAAGCAACAGCTCCAGACATTCCACCAGGAAGGCCATGCCCTGTAGAATAAGAAAGACTACTCCCAGAAAGGCAAAATGATGAAAACTTCTTAAGCATTACCAAACATCTGCTGAGAATGAGTTGCTGGGCCTGGGAACAACTCAAGGGGGAACCCCATGGTCAGTTGGCCTAATAGTCCACAAAGACAAATGTCTGCCATCCCACTTTAGTGACTAGTAACTGGAAACTTCAAAGCTTATGAGTGGCCATCCGAAAGTGCAGCTATTGGTCTTTCTCTGTGCGGAGGTAAGAAGAGTGATGAAAACTAGAGATGTTTAGAATCAATGAGTCCAATGGACTAATAGAACATGCGACTATCAGTCTCCAGGACACTGAGACCAGAAGAACTAGAGGATGCCCAGCCACCACTATCAACTATTCTGAAAGGGATCACATTAGAAGGTCTTAGATAGAGTGGGAGAAAATGGGCAACAAAATTCAAAAGTATATATATATATACAAAGCCAAACTTACTGGTCAAAAGAGACTGGAGGAACCTTGGTCACCCTTCAGGTCTAGAACTGACCTTACCCACAAGGTTGAGTTTTCAGTCATGCCATAGGTAGGTATATAGGAGAGACAACACTAGTGAGGTGTGCATGGAATGGCCAACCTTCAAGATGGAAAGGGCAACAGTCACGTAAGCACAAACGTAAGAAGGGTTGGAAAGGTGGACTGGAAATAAGGGTCACAGGGAAGAAGTGAGGTACAGCTGATGTTACACTGAGGGGGTTACAATCCAGATGAAATGAAGTGTGTCATTTGTTGAATGTAAAATTGACGATCTGCTCTATAAACTTGCACTCAGTTCACAAGAACAAAAGGAATCACTGTTCCCTTCCTTCTATACCTTTTTCATGGCCAATGACCATTCCCCAGATGCATGCCATATAGTCACCACCTGGCCATGTTTAAACAGTCACCATCAAGGGGAATTGGGACCACCATGTGTTATCTGTTGGAATCCTGGGCCTGGGATGAGGCCCCACCTCATTGTTAACACATGAATCCCCCAAGATGATAGTGAGAGAGTCTTGTACGCATGGAGAAAGGTGTATCCTACGAGGAAATAGACCCCATGAAAGGATTCCTCTGTGGTGTTTTATGTAGGTTCAGATGAGACGGTGAATGAATTGTACAAACTTGAACTTGCACCTCAGGGTGGTTGGGAGAAGGAATTCCAACTCAAAGAACAAATGATAGATTTGTTCACCCACTTTTTAAAAATTTTTATTATTTAAGGTTTTTATTGTGGATTGAGTGAAAGTTTACAGGGCACATCATCAGTTTTACATTCAACAAATCATACACCTTGTTTCATTACAATGATTATAATCCCCTCCATGATGTACCATCAGTTATCCACTTTAGCTTTTTAACAAACAAAAAAGCCACTCAGGCATATATAATAATTTACATTTCCAAAGGACACATTCTGCAAGTCTGCCTCCTAGCCAGCAGCTCTTAGTCCCTGTCTTCTTAGTCCATGAATCTAGAGTCCTCAGCCACTCCTGCTCTTCATGCCCCCATCTCTGCCTCCATCTCTGTTATTGCTGCTTCTCTGGATGAGATCCCGAATTCTGCTTGTGCGCTTCTCTCTTGATGGTCCCAGGGTCCTCCGTTTCTGGTCTGTCCAATTAACCACTTCCCGTTTTTTGTTACAAAACTTATACTTTTATAATTGTGTTCACCCACTTTTTATCCTTGGTCTTACCTTAGTCTCCCTGAGAGAAGGGCTCAGTACAGAAAAGTATTCTGGGAAGCAATCTTAAGGGAAGAATGAGAAGACTTCAATGAGTAAATCAAATGCAAAAGAGTTCATTATACTTGCAGGGCTGGTTACTGGGGTGGGCACGGGGTCCTCAGTTCCGCTGAGGGTTCTTTGGAGAGCCATGTAAAATGCACGACAGACTTGTCCACCTGCGTGGAAGAAGATTTCATCCACTAACTCCTGTCCTCCGTTACTCAAGGACTGACCCTCAGAGTTCCTGGTTTGGGAGTCTCACGGGCTGGTGACAAGGAAGCCCCATGAGAAAGTTAGGAGACAATGGTCAGGCTGCACGAGCACACAGCCGGCCAGCTGGAGCAGGAATGTCACAGCGCTAAGGGGCCGGTTAAAAGATGTGACCAGCACAGAAAGCAGTGTGTATGATGCACTCCCAACTCAGCAAAACAAACCATCTCGAGCCGCTGGCTCCCTTCTACCACTCAAATCGAGGTGAGCCCAGTTCGGGCCCACATTCCTGGACTAACGCACCCCATGCTGAGGAGCCAGCTTGGTTTCTGTCTTGGAAACATGAGGAGTCGTCGTTCTGAGCATTCTAAAAGGCAAGCATCACATGGGACTGCCCACTTCGGACCTTCTACTCTAACGGCAGTGTCCACAACAGCAGCTTTTGTAGTGGATACAGGGTGCTCTTCAGGTGGCCATTTCTAGTAATATAACCAAACCAACAACCACCACCCAACCACCAGTTGGTGTGGCGTCGATTCCAACTCATGGCAACCCTAGGTGTTGCCAAGCAGAACTGTGCACTGTAGGGTTTTCAAGGTTGAGAACTTTGGGAAGCAGATTGCCAGGTCTTTCTTCCAAGGTACTCTGGGCAGATTCAAACTACCATTTGGACAGTAGTCTAACACTCTGGCAACATCCAGCCCCCTCTCCCCCCACTACTACTACCACCATTAGAGCTGGAGGCATTTCAATAAACCAAATTCTGATACTGTCTTTCCTTAGAAATGGGAATAGAAAGAATTGCTAGTCAGCCAATAATGTTTTTAAAATGACAATGATGATGACGTCCTAAAGGCTGGTTCTTAGAATTGAAAAGGGCCAAAGGATCCTACTGCAATTTGTTTGAAAGAGCACAAGATTTTGAACGAAACCAGGCACACTTTGCATCCTGGCTTTGCTCTTTCTTGTCTATTGGGTCTTGCGACTGTTGGAGCACCTCTCTGAGACTCACTTTCCTCATTTGTAAAACAGGGATAACAATAGCAACCTCCCAGAGTTGTTGTAGAATCAGAAATTGTGCATGTGAATTACTCAGCATACCACCTGGCATGTCAAAGGTATCCAACAGAAGAGAATGAATGAAACAGGAAGAGAGTGAAGAAAAACATCTAAACTAAACGACAAAGATTTTTCACTGGCATTATCTTTAAAAACAGAATATGGAAAGAGAGCGTTTCAAAGCAGAAGAGTCTTCAGCACACAGATTGTATCCAAAGGCTCTCATCTGGGCTTTGTTATCGATTGAACTGTGTCCCCGCCCACCACCACCAAATATGTGTCAACGAGGTTAGGCCAGAAGTGTCAGTAGTGTGTAATTCTCCTCCAGGTTGTGGTCTGTGTTAGAAATCTTCACCTCTCTGATGTTAACGTCAGGATTAGAAGTAGTTATGTTGACACAAGATACAATCTACAGGATTAGGTTGGATCTTGAGTCAATCTCTTTTGAGTTATAAAAAGGATTAAACAAGTGAGCAGGGATCAGAGAGACCTCCTGCCACCAAGAAAGAAGAGCAGGAGGAGAGCATGTCCCCAGGACTCAGGGTCCCTGTGCTGAGAACCTGCTAGACCCAGAAGATTGATGCCAAGATACATGGATATGTCCACGGAACACTGGGTCCACAGATGGTGAAAGGAGACAAGGATCTTCCCGAACAGCCAACAGAGACAGAAAGTTTTCCCTGAAAGCTGGTGCCTTGAATTTGAACTTCTAGCCTCCTAAATTGTAAGAGAATAAGTGTTTGTCTGTTAAAGTCATCCACTTGGGGCATTGCTGTTACAGTATCACTAGACCAGTAAGAAGGCTTGGAACCAAAGCACCCTAGGAGAGCGCGTGGTTGGCCCTGGCTCTGTGTACTTAGGATGGGAAGCCCAGTCTCAGCCATCAGTCACACAGCAGACTCACATCAGTCCTCTCGAGGTCACGCTACTCTGGGGACACCAGTGGAGATAGTTTCTATGAAGAAGATCACCCCAGAGATGGTGGGACCTCCAATTCCCACCCTGGGTCCTGTTCACCTCACCCTGGGCCCCGGCCTGCCTGGGTTCCTGTGAGTACCAGGTCCCCATATGCCAGGTCTGTGGAGACCAGTCTGAACACACAGAATGAAATCCTTTCTCCTAAGACCTTGGAAACGATCATTCCTTTTGGTTTTTTTAGGTCTCTTCTCACTTATATGTGCTGTTTCCTTTGGCTGGTTTCCCTGGCAACCAAGAACAAGGTATAAAGGAGCCATCAAAAGCAGGTACAGGTTGTTTGTTTCCTTTCTGCATCCTCAGGGGACTGAGGGCTGTGGTGAGAAGCAGTCACGACTCCTCATTCTGCAAATGACAACCAACAGAGGCTTCCGGCTTCTCCCAGTTGTGTTTAATGAGTGGGGGAGGTGGTCCAGGTCAAAAACAGCTTAAGGAGGGGCAAGAAACAGCTTTTCCTTGGGTCAGGCCAAGTCAGGTTCCTCCTGGCAAGGAACTCATTCACAACCAGTAAGTCTCCCACAGCTGTGGAATGACCAGACTCTTAGTGGCTGTCAGGCTCTCTGGCCACAAGTCACCAACCAGCTCACTCGTGCTGGATGCTCGGCTCCTGAGACATCTGAGAAGAAAGGGGGTCTGCTGTCATCTGAGATTTGCCATCAAGCACCTGCCGGACCCTCTGCATACCTGGGAAGGAGACAAGAGGAATGAGAAGATGGGACAGAAAGGACAGAAGGCACGCTCTGTGAGGACTAGGGATAGGAAGGCAGACTGCTTACCCAGGCGAAGCCGGTGGGCTTTGTCCGAGAAGACAATGCGAAACCAGCCAGGCTCCTTACACTCGAAGGCCTTGCCCGAGGAGAGCAGCACCTTGTTGTCTAAAAAACGGCGCCAAAGCAGTGCTTCTTCCTCAAAGGTGCCCTTGGACAGGTGCTATGAGGAAGGAAAGGGCTCAGGATGCTTTCTGTGGAGACTGCCTACCCCTGCCTCCCACCTGCAGGGTGAAGGCTTCAAAGTGCCTCCCAGCCTTCACTTTCGCCTGTAGTACCTTTCTCAGGTCCGCCCAGATGAAGAAGCCTGCCCCGCGACTCAGGAAGGGGACCCTCAAGGCCCTGAGCTCTTTTGAGACATAAGTGTGGGCTGCCTTGAGCCGGGCGTGGTTTTCTGGCAGGTACACTTGGTTGATCCAGTCTGTGTGGGCAAGAGAAATCTCCCATCAACCTTCCACCAGGCTAGTCCAAAATTTGATAAGAAAAAGGTCAGAAGCTTCCAAGCCCTTTCTGGAACTGGTTAAAGGTGCCCTGGTGCTGCAGTGGTTAACCACTGATTGCTAACTGAAAAGTCGGCGGGCAAACCCAACAGCCATGCCGAGGGAAAAAGATGTGTTCATCTGTTTGTGTAAAGGCTAACCCACTCACTGCCATCAAGACAATTCCAATTCATAGCAACCCTATAGCACAGAGAACTGCTCCCTGGAGGTTCCAAGACTATAAATCTGTATGGGGGCAGAGGGCTTCCTCTTTCTCCTGCAGAACGGCTGGTGTGTTTGAACTGCCAACTTTGCAGTTAGCAGCCCGCAGGGAAACCCTGTGAGGCAAACCCTATTGGAGGGACAGTTCTACCCTGTCTTGTACGGTCACTGTGAGTCAGAATTAACTTGACAATAGCAGCTTTGGGTGGTTGTTGTTTAAAGAGCTGGTTGATGGAGGGAAAACTCAGTATCTGGTACAAAGCACCTAAGTTCAGAGACTTAGTCTTGATTATCTCTCAGAGTTCCACACTCCCAGACGCAAAACTGAAACAAATGTTTATTCAGTTACAACATGAAATGCACATGCTTTACAATCATACAGCACAGTCGCCACCAAGATGTGTGGCCATGATCCCCATTTTTTATTGCCTGTGTATGTGTGTGTGTGTGTGTGTGTGTGTGAATGTTGTTGCTGTCCAGTGAGCCCCTGACTCATGGCGACCTGCGCACAATGGGACAAGAGCCACAGGGTTTTCACTGGCTGATCTTTTTTGGAAGCAGATGACCAGGCCTTTATTCGTAGTCGGCCTTCATTAGGACACAATGTTGAAACCTATCAGCACTGCAGCAAAACGCAAGCCTTCACTGACAGATTGACAGCTGTGCTTGAGGTGCATTGGCTGGGACTCGAACTCAGGACTCCTGCAGAGAAGGTGAGAATTCCACCACTAAAATGCCACTGCCCTCCGTGTTGCTGCTGCTGCTGCTCCTAAGTGTCATGTTGGTAAACCCCCTGAAGAACCCACTGCCAGCGAGTCGATGCTGACTCATAACCAACCTGAGGTGGCTCTCTGAGGCCATAAATCTTTACAGGAGCAGAAAGCCTCATTTTTCTCCTGTGGGGAGACTGTTGAGTTTGAACTGCCTACCTTGTGGTTAGCAGTCCAGTGCTTACTCCACAGTGCCACCAGGACTCCTTTTGGGGGGGGGGCAACAGTTCTATAAATGTTAATATATGTGTAAATATATGTCACCATCAACCACAATTGGGTACCGAGCAGTCCCTTTATCTCTCCCAAACTGCCCCTGCTACTCTCCCCCTAACTCCCCACAACCCCTGGTCTGGTCTCCTTCACTGTGTTGTTGTTGGTAAGTGCCGTCAAGTCGGTTCTGACTCACAGCCACCATGTATATGGTTTCTGAGGAGGCTGGTGAGCTTGAACTGCCGACCCTGTGGTTCAAACTGATCCTGCTGCCCAGCGCATTAACCCACAGTGCCACACCAAGGACTCCTTCACTATAGCTGAGCCTCTTCCTGAATGTCATGTAAGGAATCAGATTGCGTGTGGCCTTTCAAGACTGGCTTCTGTCACTCAGCACAATGTCATTGAGGTCAATCCCTGCTGTCACAGATTTTGTGGCACAATGGATTCAGTGTTGGGCTGCTCACCTCAAGGCTGATGGTTCAAACTCACCAACAACTCTTCAGGAGAAAGACGAAGCTGTCTGGCCCTATAAAGATTTATCAGTCTTGGGAATCCTACGGAACAGTTCTACTCTGACCCATGGGGTGGGGCAGCAGGCATTATGAGTCCAAATCAACTGGATGGCAGTGGATTTTCTGATTTGAGTATAACAGTTTACCTATCTGGTCACCTGCTGAAGGGTATTTGAGTAGTTTCCAGGTTTAGGGGATTGTAAATTGAGTAGCGGTTAACATTCATACACAAGTTCTTATGTGACAAGTTTCATTTCTCTAGGAATGGAATTATCTGATCATTTAGTAAAGGTGTGTTTAACTTTTTATAAAAAGGCTTCAAAAGTTCATGGAAAAACATTCCGTCATCTTTTAATTCCATTTTTCCACAAACGTTTTGAAGCTGCCTCAGAAAACCAGCTGCCAAATCGCTTTCCAGAGTGGTGGCACTATTTTACAGGGATGCCAGCAATATATGGAGAATTCCACATTCTCGCTGCCTTTGGACATGTCATCAGGAAAGACTGTTGTTGTTGTTAAGTACCATGGAGTCTGTTCCAACTCACAGTGACTAGGGTCTCCAAGGCTGTAAATCTTTACGGGAGCAGAATGCCTCATCTTTCTCCCGCGGAACTGCTGGTAGTTTCGAACTGCTGACCTTGTGGTTGGCAGCCAATGTGTAACCACTACGCTACCAGAGCTCCTTCAGGAAAGATTAGTCACAAGAAAAAGACATCTTGGTTGTTAGAAAGGAGGTCAGCAGAAATGAGGCAAACCCTCATTTTGTGGGATGAACTGTCACAACATCGTCACAATGGACTCAAAGGGTCCAAGTGCAGGCAATGTTTCATTCTGTTAGACACGAGTCCAAGCTGACTCCAAACTCACAAACTACAGCAACAAAGTGTGTTTCTTTGTCCCAGAGTAAATACAAGTGCACCTACCTCCTACACTTTGGGAGGTGCCCTGGTGGCACTGTAGGAGAAGTATTGGACTGCTAACCACAAGGTTGGCAGTTCAAACCCACCAGCTGTTCCACGGCAGACAGATGAGGTTTTCTGCTTCCATCAAGATTTACAGCCTCGGAAACCCTAAACAGGGTCACGATCAGTCGGAACCAGCTGGACGGCAGTGAGTGGGTTTTGGGGGTATGGGTATAAAATGAGGTGATGTCTCAAGACCACCCAGATGGGTTCAGTAATTAATAGCAGTGACAAGTAATCTTTGCTACCTACACTCACTCCCTGAAGGTAGAAGCAGAAGAGATGCGCACAGAGATCCTTTCATCATGACAATGTCTCTTAGTGTCTGCTCACAACCGTCTTCCCATGCTCACAGGTCACAGTAATGAGTTCACATTGACCAAATGCCGATTGTATGCTATTTCTATCCTGATTGTAATTACAAATCGCAGTAACCTTACCCGGCAGGCACCACTATGATCCCTGTTTTACAGAAAAGGAAACTGAAACTCGGGGAGATGAAGTAATGTACCCACCCATACAGCAGTGACCATGCTGGCTGTGAATCCAGTGTGGACCCAGAGCTTTCTCAAAAACCACTCTGAATTCTTCTCCCGAGAGCAGCAGCCCTGATGTGGGCCAATCAATCCCTCCCTCCAAGCAGACTGACTAGACCCCTTGCCCCAGGTCTAGGAAGTCACCTTGATCCCGGAGCAGCTGTGCCATCTGGTACTGGAGCAAGCCACTGAGGCCATGGTAGCGGCAGAGGGAAGCCACAGCAACGGACACATCCTGGTTTTCAGTGTACAGCGTGCCAAAGCGCAGCCCAGACATCCCAAAGTCCTGCCAGAGGATAATACACCAGGGAGTGGCCAGTCCTCCCCAGAAGGAGCCACTTCCACAACCTCTGTACCCCTCCCACCTCCCTGACCCTTACCTTGCTGGTTGCCCACATCACGTGGGTCCTCTGGGGGTCAGGCAGCCTGCAGAGGGCAGTGTGGGAACAGAGGGAGTTCATTCATGTTGGTTGAACAAATGAAAGGATGAATGAATTCACAGCTCCCATTATTTATTGTTTGACTATACAGACCAGCTCTCTCACAATGAGTCCTACTGTGGCACTGGAGGATAAGCCCTGGACTGCTAACCCCAAGTCCAGTGGTTCAAACCCACTAGCTGCTCCTTGAAAACCCCAGACAGGGTCGCTGTAAGTCATAACCAACTCGACGGCACTGCACAACAAATTTAATGTTTAAGTAGTTAGAAGTGTATGGCACATAATGAAGGAAGGAAAGAAACTGGTGCTTCTCTGGGAGTGAAGGAAACAGCAAAGGAGTCCAGCTTGCCACCCACCCAGCCCCTCCGTGGAGCTCTCAGAAGTGCCACAGAGCAATTTTGTGATGGTTATTAGTTTTGTGTGTCAACTTGCCTAGACACATCATTCCTGGGGGGTTGGCCAAACAATAGTCTAGAGCAGACTATCTTCAGTAATGGCTGAATACGAAGGGATACAATGGAATCACCTTCCACAAGGCAATCTAATGGAATCAGTCTGTTGAGGTCACATCAGTGTAGGGTGGACCTGATCACTTCTGAGTTATGAAAAAGACTCAGCCAGACACAGAGAGGCATGCAGGGGGAAGACAGATGCCACGTAAGGATCGTCCACCAGCAGAGGAACCGCAAGGCTTGCTGGTACAGACACCAGAACTAGGAGAGAGGTTCAGGGATGAGCAGGGTAGAGACCCTGAGTTGGATTTTTAGCTTCTAGAACTTGACAGAAAACATTTCTGGTCTTTAAAGTCACACACTTGTGGCCTTTCTGGTATACAGAACTAGTTCACTAAGACAAATGTGAAAAACACCCATTTAGTCCAACCCACCATCTTTTCCCTCAGGGATCTAAGGAGCAGCTCAGTCAGTTGGGTGGGGGAGGACACAGAGGGTGGGGCCTTCAGCCTTACCTTTCTAGGCTCAGGACACTGCGGTAGGTGACCGACTCCTCAAACACAGACAGCATATAGACCTCATCCACAATGACGTGCAGGCTGTGCCTGAGGGCAGGTGATGGAGAGCAGAGAGCTTAGTTCACAGAGCAAGTGTGCTCCCAGGTGGGGCTGCTGTGTGTCCCCCATCGAGGAACCCAGGTCTAGCCCAGGTAGGCAAACCTGCTGTTTTCAGTACCAGTCATCTACAAAGAAGCCCTAATAACACACTGGGTTACAAGTTGGGCTGCAAACCACAAGGTCAGCAGTTCAAATCAACCAGCTGCTCTCCAGGAGAAAGATGAAACTTTCTGCTCCCATAAAGATTTACAGCCTCGGAAATGCTATCAAGAGTCGCTGAGTCGGAACTGGCTCCACGGTACATAACCACCATCGCACAAATTAGACTACAGTGGAACTTTTAAAGAGCTTCGGGGTCAGGGGGAGGGACGAGGGGGAGGCGGAGTCCTTAGGAACTGCATGAGGGGCAAAATACATGGACTCTAGACCAGTGGATTCAAGTCTGGCTCCACACATTAACCGTGTAGTTTGGTACAGATGTGGTCACCCAACCACTCTAAGCCTTGGTTTTCTCACCTTTAAAATGGGGATAATAAGATAGCTATACCATAGGGGGAAGGAGCTCTGGTAGCACAGTGGTTACCAGTCAGGCTGCTAAGCTCAAAGTCAGCAGTTTGAAACTACCAGCCGTTCCATAGGAGAATGATGAGGCTTTTTACTCCCATAAAGATTTACAGCCTCGGAAACCCTATGCAGGGTCTCTATGAGTCAGAAGTGACTCCGGGGCACACAACTACCACCACCACACCAACGGGGGAGTCCTAATGTGGTGTTGTAGGATACGCACTTAACTGCAAGGTGGGTTTGAACTGCAAGGTTGGAGGTGCAAACTCAGCAGACACTCCTCAGGTCACTATGAGTGGAAACCACCTCGATGGCACTTAACAACAACAACCACACCAATAGGAAAGTCCTGTTGTTGTGCTGTAGAAACAGCACTGGACTGCTAACCACAAGGTTGGTGACTGAAAACAGACTCGAGGGCACTTAACAATAACAATACACCAATATAAATGAGATCTAGCACGGACTGTGCTTTGCTGTTGTTAAGTGCCATGGAGTCAGTTCCAACCCATAGCAACCCTGTACAGGGTTTCCAAGGAGCGACTGGTAAGCTTGAACTGCCAACGTTGTGGTTCAAACCAACTTTGCAGTACAGCGCATTAACCCCACAGCGCCACACCAGGACTCCATGGACCGTGCTTAGTGGGGTACAAACAAGAGCTGCTGTTACAAAGAGAAAAGGAGAGAATTGCTGGCTGGCCTCTTTCAAGAATCGTCATCGGACTGAGGAGTCAAAGATGGTGAAAGTCTGAAGTGGGGGTAAATGGGACCTAAGGACCTTCCATGAAAGCCCACGTCAGAACCCTAGTCTGCCCAGGTGTGCGGGGATGTGGGGTGGGTGCCTCACCTCTTGGCAAATTCCAGGTACTCCTGCAGCTCTCCTAGGGAGTAGATGTCACCCAGAGGGTTCTGGGGGTTGATAAGAATGAGGCCTTTAACCTTCACACCCTGGAACAATCAATACAACAGGAGACCCTCAGCTTCTCCCAAAGGCCAAGATCACAGAGTCCCACTGGATGAGGTAGATAGTGGGGTGGGCTTCCAGGAAAAGGGGACGTATGTGTTCATGACCCAACATGAGGCAAACTAGGGCCCAGAACCCAGAATCACACCTGCAGCTTGTGTCTATGATGAAAAGGCAGTCACGGCCCAGAACAAAGTCCTGAGGGGCAGGCGCCAATGCCAGGAGAGGCTACCTCTGGTTGGTGGCATTACAAGAGGGGAGTCTGTACCTTCCTAGCTCCCTTCAGTGAGTGCATGCAGCTTTAACAACCAAGGAAGAATACTAAGCAGATGGATTTGTGGAAAGGGGGCTGAAAAGGACCCTCTGGAGTGCTGGTCTGCCTGTCTTCAGGGGGTCACAAAAACCAAAAACCAAACCATTTGACGTCGAGTTGACCCCAATATATCAGAGTAGAACTGTGCTTCGTAGTTTTCAGTGGCTGATCTTTCAGAACTAGACCGCCAGGACATTCTTCTGAGATACATTTGGGTAGATTCATACCACCAACCTTTAAGTTAGCAGAAACACCCAGGGACTCTTCAGAAGGCCCCAGACTCCATCAAAGTGAGGTCCATAGACCCCTCTCCTGAAATCACCTTGGAGACCCACTGAAACGCAGACTCCTGAGCTCCACAACGGACCTTCTCAGGAAGACTCAGGGAGTCCGGGTGAGGTGAAGAGTAAGAATGGGGGGTGGGGTATGTCTTCAATCACACCTCCCTTGTTGATGCTCTGTGCATGGACGTTTGAGAGCTCTTCCATCCTGGGAAGGCTCTCCAGAAGCAAACTCCAGCCTGACCCCCAGAACAGTCCCATGCACCCATCCACTCCCCTGACCCCACCAAGGGCTATAGCCCAGTCCCAGAAGAGGTCAGGCACACCCCTCTCAGACCTTCACACTCCCCAGCCCCAGGCTTGGTTGGGTTCCCAGACCTCAGACTGAGCTCCCTGCAGGGCCATCTCCAGCTTCTCCACTGTGAGCTGGAAGGGGCGTGTTTCCGGTCCGGTGACCTGAAGAAAGACCCCCAATCCACCATCACAATATCAGCCCACTGAACCTGAGCTCTCGGGCCTCTCCTCAGGCCTGCCATGGCAGCTTCCAGAACAACAAACACTTGCCTGTTACAGCCATCCACTCCTATCCTGCCCCACAGGAACACCCTCTTCACGGCTAGGGTTCCTGTCACAAGCGTTCCTGTGACAGCCACCCCTGGGCATTCATCCGTCCCCCTTCCCATGATTTGGGCATAGGCTCCTCTCTGACAAGATTGGGGTATGGGCTCTCCGTCTCCTCCTAGGATTCAGTTATAGGCTCCTCCCCTTCCCCAGGATTTGGCTATAGGCCCCTCCCTCCCCCCACAATTTGGGTATAGGCTCCTGGGGTTGGGCCTTGGTCTCTACATTGACCTGAGGGGTCTCAAAGCCTGGAGCTTGGGAAACGTCTGGAAACTGAACTAGTCAATATCAGAAAGCTCTACACTCCCCTGTCACCTGCAACCCCAGAGCCCTCAGCACAGACCTCTCCATATCAGAAAGCTCTACACTCCCCTGTCACCTGCAACCCCAGAGCCCTCAGCACAGACCTCTCCATATCAGAAAGCTCTACACTCCCCTGTCACCTGCAACTTCAGAGCCCTCAGCACAGACCTCTCCATGTCCCAGCTCAAGTTGAGGGAATCCCAGGAGCACTCACCTTGCTGTCCAGATAGGCATAGACCAGCCTCACGTTGCCATAGAGATAAACATGTTGCGTGATGGCTCCGTAGTAAGGCGCCGGGATCAGGAAAGCCTCTGAGAGGAACATGAGCTAGTCACCCGCTGACCAGAATACCCCAGGACCCTCTTCCCCGGCCTTGTTGCTTCTCCCAGCCTTCAACATCCTTGGGGAACATTTAGGGGATGCTCCCTCCTACAACAGCACGTTTCTAGCTCCCTAAATCCTTCTAAAGCTGGAATCCACTGAGATCACTTCCGTTTCTAATAATGAATGGTGGTGTGGTGGTGGACCTACCTTCTAGGGGTGTTATAAGAATTAAGTATCATACTACATGTAAATCCTTAGGCCAGTACCTGGAACATGGCATATGGCCAATCAATGTTATTAATCCTTGCAACCAATAACCCCTGACCATTATCAGTACTTAAGACTACCAGAGCCCTTAAGGCAGATGTTGCTGCTTTCCTACTCAACAGCCAATGCAATGTTCTGCCTTGCTAAACAGGAAGGCTGTGAGCCAGAGTTGTATCCATTCACCATACTTATTCAATACGAAATGCTGTATTATATGAAGAATGTAGCATCAGGATTGGAGGGAGACTCATTAACAACGTGACATATGTAGATGACACAACCTAGCTTGCTAAAAGTGAAGAGGACTTTAAATACTTACTGATGAAGATCAAAGACTAACCTTCCATATGGATGGCACCTCAATGTAAAGAAGACAAAAATCTGTACAACTGGACCAATAAATATCATAATGAAAAAATAATCACTGAACTTGTCAATTTTGCTTGGCTCTATTATCAATATTCATGCAAATAGCAGTCAAGAAACCAAATAAGGTATTGAATTAGGCAAATCTGTTACATAAGCCCTCTTTTGAAAGTGTTCAAGAGCAGAGATGTCAGTTTGAGGATGAAGGCAGGCCTAATCCAAGCCATGGTATTTTCAATAGCCTCATATGCATGTGGAAATTGGACAATGTATAAGGAAGACTGTAGAAGAATAGATGCATTTGAATTACGGTGTTGGAGAAGAATATTCAAAGAACCATGGACTGCCAGAAGAACAAACAAATCTGTCTTGGAAGAAGGATAGGCAGAATGCTCCTTAGAAGCCTGATGGTGAGACCTCATCTCTAATATTTTGGACATCTTTTCAGAAGGGACCAGTTACTGGAGAAGAACATCATGCTTGGTAAAGTAGAGGGTTGGTGAAAAGGAGAAAGACCCCCAAAGAGATGGACTGTCACGGGCAGCAGCAATGGGCTCAAATGTAACAACTGTAGGCTGGTGTCGGACACCATATAATGTGCTGTACTGCAAAGTTGGTTCCAGCTCACCAGCCACTATGAGCTGGGATCGACTGATGGCACCTAACAACAACAACAACAACAACAACCTTGCTAAGAGAGCATTATAGTTTTCAGATATTACCGCCAAGAAAGGGGGGTCACCCCCAGCCTCAGGGGATGAGCCAACCGTGGTTCTCCTAGTCCCCCGTGCCAAGGACTGATTCTAACCAGTAAGACATAAGAATTCTTCTAGAAGGCACTCTTCTGAGGTGGGATTCTACTCCAGCCCTGGTTAAAAAAGACAGAGACAAGCAAGGTACAGCCTCAACCCTTTCTTCCTACTTGGGGACCATCAGTGCTGTCATATGAAGTTTTGACCATGAAGGTAGGTCAAGACAATCTCCCAATGGCAGCTGAGAACCCTGATACCACACTCATCTGTCTGGAACTGTTGACCCTGAGTTGTCCTACTGAGCCACTTCTTTGAGCCCCACTTAGTCTATTAGGCTGGTATTGTATTACAGCTAAAAGCACTCTGATACAGCTCATGGGGCCAGGCAGTTGGGACTTGCCAGGCATCATGCAGCCCCCAGAGTCTACTTACCCCCCACCTCACACAGCACCGTGGCCAGGGCAGAGAAGAGGGAGGCGCAGCCATTTAGAACCACCACCTGAGGCCGATAAATGGGATAAATATGAGCCTGTCTGAGGAGAGAGCAAGGACCCACAGCCTCTACTCCAGGGTGGCACAGAGGGAGAGCCAGGCAGTCCCTCCTCCATGTCCATCAGGTGCCCAAAGGCCTGACTGCCAGGTAAGCTCCTGAGTGTGGACCTTGCTAAAGAACAACTGAGCAAGGATTCGGGGAGCTGGTCCCTCTGTGAGTCTTGACCGCAGCTGTGGGACCAAAGGACAAAGTGGGGCAGAAATGTATCCAGACTCTAAATGTCTTAGATTAGAAAAAAGGTATCCCCAAATCAACCTTGAAATAAATCAAAACTAAATGAAAGGCAGAACCCAACTCTATCTAGACCCAGGCCAACCTAATGTTGGGGAGTGGGGTGTTACATCTACTCACGTTCTCTGGTTTGAGAGGTGCTGGGCTCTTGCAATAGAAAGACAGGAACCTGGCCACTTCCTCTCGGAGGCTAGAGACAAGCAGATAGACAGATAGACAGGCGGTCAGTGCTTGCCAGGGGACCCTCAAACCTGTGCATCCTGAAGCTCCTTTGGTGACTCTTTGGGGAGCTGCCTTCACCCTCCTCCAGTCCCGCGAGGGGAGGGTGGTCAGGGATTGTCTCTGCCCACCTCCCACCCTCCTTCACTCACAGGCATTGAGGCATTCCTCCTCAGTAACTCTAGCACACCCAGCGCCCCACCCTTCTACAGTGAGACTGAGAACATTATATGCGGCCCTGTTGTTAAGTGCCATCGAGTCAGTTCTGACTCATAGCAACCCTGCATCACATTTCCAATGAGCAGCTGGTGGGTTTAAACTGTCAACCTTGTGGTTAGCAGTCCAGTGCTGATCCTTTAACTCCACATATGTAACCCTAGCTCATGACAAAAATGATATAATGCTATTAGAAAGACAGTTATTCTTGCTAATATTTATTAAGCATTTACCTTAGGCAGGTATTGTGTAGAAAATTTTACTCACTGAATCTTCATCATAATGCTATGGTGCAACTACCATTATTACCAAAGGGCTTCAAAAAATGTGTGGAAAAATGGAATTGAAAGATAATGGATTTTTTCCATGAACTTTTTAAAGGCCCTTCATTATTTCCATTTTGTAGATGAAGTATCTGAGATTCAAAGGAATAAAATCCTTTGACGCTAAGTGGCAATCCACATTCAGACCCAGTGGTTTGACCCCAGACCCTACTATTCTGCTCTGTAACCAACCTGGAAACCGAATCCTGCTCTATTCCTAAGCCCTTAGAACAGCATTTGGTCCATTGTTGTTGTTGTTGTTATGTGCCGTGGAGTCGGAACCGACTCATAGCGACCCTGTACAGGGCATTTGGTCCATAGGAAGTGTATAATAAATACAAACCATGAGCACTGTACTGCTCCCAGCAAGATCAGTGGTTCAAACCCACCAGCCACTTTTTGGAGACCCTATACAAGGTCACTATGAGTAGGATCCGATGCGATAGCATTTAACAACAGCTAATCCTTAAAGAACCCTGGTGGCACTGTAGGATAAATGCTGGAGCACTAACCAAAAGTTCAGAAGTTCAAAGCCACCAGTCATTCCTCGGGAGAAGGATGATACTGTCTGTGCTCATAAGATTCACAGTCACAGAAAGTCTATCCAAGATCACTGTGAACCAGAATCCACAGGATGACACTAAGGGTTTGGTTTGTTTTTCAGTTCTTTTATTAGGAAGGACCCCAGTGTGGTGCTGTAGGATCAGCACTGGACTTTGATCCACAAGGTCGGCAGTTCAAATTCACCAGCTGCTCCTCAGAAACCCTATACAGGGTAAGTATGGGTCAAAAGTGACTTGATGGTGCTCTGGTAGCTTAGTGGTTACGAATTGGGCTGTGAGCCGCAAGGTCAGCAGTTCGTAACTACCAGCTGTTCCACGGGAGAAAGATGAGGCGTTCTGCTCCTGTAAAGATTTACAGCTTCGGACACCCTGTATAGGGTCGCTATGGGTCGGAACCGACTCCACGGCACATAACAACAACAAATCATTAGGAAAATCCTCATGCAGATTCTGGCTTCCCTTATACTCCTAAAGGGACTCCTGAGCTGGGTGGGACTGGCAAGAGGGATGAGTGCTCTGATGATGCTTCAGGAGGCCCTTTAAGCCCCATGTGCCCAGGGCCAGGCCTGCAGCCTAGGGTAGCCTTCTCCCCCTGAATGCTTCCTCGTTGTGGAGGGCTGCCATGTGCATTGTAGGCAGTTTAGCAGTATCTCTGGCCTCTATTGGCTGCAACAATCAAAAACATCTCCAGGTATTTCCAGGTGTCCCCTGGGTCACAATACCACCCCATTTGAGAACCAATGGCTCACAGCAACTACTCACAACAGGTGTCCCCTCCAGTCAGGGTACTGCAGCAGGGACGGTTCCACCTGCAGCATGTCGCTCTGAGTCAGCTGGGGACAGAGAGAAGAAAGTGGGCCATGGCCATCCGGGCTGGTACTGCAACCTGCATCTGTACATCATCTCACACCAAGGCCTCCTGCGTGGCCCTGCTCCTCAGAGAAGCCATGAGAGGGCCAGCACAGAGCAGCCTGTTTATACCTGTTTCGTAGATGAGAACACTGAGGCTCAGAAAAGTGCGGGGAGTCTGTCAGGTTACAGAGTTAGTACGGGCAGAGCTGAGACAAACACTCAAGTTTTCAACTCATATCGAGCATTCTTTCAACAGCACTCCCACCTTAGGAGTGGATTTGCAGAGAATGCTGGGAGTCTACACTACTCTGCTTCTCTGTAGGGTGATGGAGAGCTCCTGGAACTGGGGGCCTTCCCCGCAGTCCTGCCTGCACCTTCTATAGCACCTCAGTCCACCTCTTCCCTCAGACTTTGTGCAGGTTTCTCAACCTACCTCCTTTGGTTGTGAAAGGCTGATCGATTGCTGGGATAGGGACACTAGAGGGACAATGTCAAGGAATGGCCTTGGGCAATGGGACCAAAATAAGAACTATCATTAGTCACTTTAAACTAGTTCCAGTTCTTTCTCTCTCCCCCTTCACCCTTCAGTTACCCCTTGCAATATGGTAGCATGTGGCTGTTGAGTATTTGAGATGTAACTAGTTTGAACTGAGCTATATTAAATTTTGAAGACCTGCTATGAAAAAGTGTGGAAAATATCTCATTAATGTTTTTATATTGATTACATGTTTAAATAACAGTATTTTAGCTATTGTTGTTGTTGTATGCCATCGAGTCAGTTCTGACACATAGCGACCCTGTATCAGGTTTCCGAGAGCAGCTGGTGGGTTTGAACTACTGACCTTGAAGTTACTAATCCAGTGCTTATCCTACAACGCCACACCAGATATACTGGGCTAAATCAAACGTATTAAGATTAATTTCATCAATGTCTTTTTACTTTCTTAGTAACCACACCAAGCCCACTGCCATGGAGTTGGTTTGGACTCACAGTGACCCTGTGTAGGATTTCTGAGGCTATAAACCTTCATGAGAGCAGAAAGCTTCCTCTTCCTCGACTGGAGTGGCTGGTGGATTCAAATTACCGACCTTGCGGTTAGTAGCCCAGCACATAATCCACTTCACCACCTAGGCTCCTTACTTCCTTAATACGTTTTCAAAGATATCTGTGGATCACATTTTATTTCTATTAGACAGCACTGTGCAACAGTCAAGGGAAGAGTTGGTTTTAGGTCAAATGTTAGAGCTGGCTGTCACAGAGTCATAGTCACCCATGCACAACAGGAATGGATGCTTGTGATCCTCAGGGTTTTCTCTGACCAACTGTCAGACATAGATCACCAGGCCTTTATTCCTCATCTTAGTCTGGCAGCTCCTTGAAACCTGCTCAACATTATAGCAACACTCAAGCCCCAAGCCTTCACTGACAGGCAAGTGGTGGCCATGTATGACATACCTAGGCCAGGAATCAAACCTGGGTCTCCCACATGAAGTTAAGTCCACCACTGAACCATGACAGGTCTTTTTAAACTACTTGCTTTTGAGTCAATTCCAATTCAGGCAACTGAACGGGCCCAGAAGGAGCCCTGGTGGCATAGTGGGTTCCACGCTAGGCTGCTAACTGCCAGGTCAGCGGTTCCAATCCACCAGCCGCTCCACGGGAGAAAAGATGAGGCTTTGATCATTTAATTGTCAGGGATTTCCCAAGCTGTATTCAAATCAGCCATTTTGAAAAAAGTGTAATCATATAAACTTGGAGTCCTGGACTGCAAGGTC